TTTATTTCTTTATTATTATTATGATTTAGATTTGATTTATTACAACACATTTAATAAGGTCCCAGCCTACTCTTTTCCACAGCTAAATCTGTCTTGATGTAGGCCCCTACCATCACTCAGCGGCCTTGGCAAATGTAAATAACTTGGCTCAGCTAAATATTTTCAGGAGAAATATTTTTTTTAAAAAAATACCAGCAGCACACAGTAGGATTGCGCCCCACATCCATATGTTAAAAATACATTTCACATCACCATGTAAGAATTCCAAGATATTTTAATCTTGCAAAGAAAAACTCCCACTGTCTTCATGTACCTATATATAAAAATTCACTGAAGTGCTAAAAAACCCCTCCCTACATTTTCAGAATTTTGCATTTTGCATGCGTTTTACCAGTACTCAACATCTGAAATGTTCTTTGAGGGCAGGGAGAAGGGCATTAGCATCCTGAACGCATTTAATCTGCAAGTGCGTGCAGTAAGAGGGGAGACAAAAAGATACAAATACTTCAAAATACGGGATTCAGCAAAATGATGGTACCAAATTTATTTTTAAGGAAGTTAATTTGTTACCTTAACCACTTCACCACCATCCACTTTCATCAGCTGCTTCAAGTTCTGCTGCAACAGGTTTGTGTTAGATCGCCATTTCAGAAGTCCCAAGAGATCAACTAGGAATGAGAAAAACAACTGTATCACGATCACGCAGGATATTTACTCTCACTCGCACCCCATAACTACGTTCAGGACAAACAGGTTTACTTCCATAGGTCAGCCATTTTCACTGGACAGCACCGTATTTCTAGCATGCCTCTGACACTGCAGGAACCTAGTACAATACTGCTATCGTGAAAGAATCAGAGAATCGTTTAGGTTGGAAAAGACCTTTAAGATCATCCAGTCCAACCATTAACCCACACTACCAAGTCCACACTAAACCAATTAAGGGTAGACTAAACCATGTCCCAAAGTGCCACATCTACCCGTTTTTTGAATGCTTCCAGGGATGGGGACTCCCCCACCTCTCTGGGCAGCCTGTTCCAACTCTTGACCACCCTTTCCGTGAAGAAATTCTTCCTAATATCTATTCTAAACCTCCCCTGGTGCAGCTTGAGCCCATTTCCTCTCGTCCTATCGCTAACTACATAGGAGAAGAGCCCAACACCCCCTCCCTGCCCCCTCCTGCCAGGAGCTGCAGAGCGATCAGGTCTCCCCTCAGCCTCCTCTTCTCCAGGCTGAACACCCCCAGCTCCCCCAGCCGCTCCCCACCAGCCCTGTGCTCCAGACCCTGCCCCAGCTTTGAACTCTGAAAGGCTTTCAAAAAAGCAGACTGCTTTTGAAATGTCAGCATTAAAATCTAGGCCAAGAAAATCGGATCCCTCCGTTTTAATTTGTTGTGCACAACAGTTGTGTGTTTAGAAAAAGATGCCAAAATGAAATTAGTCAGCCACCAACACAGTCATATCTACAGGGCCGTGACTCTTCCAGCATGAATGTTTTCAGCTTCTTTGCTCTCACTGAATAAACTGAAAAGAAAATAAGGCACAATGCAAGGCAAACAGTTGCAAACTAAGCTAATTCAGTGGAAAGCTGTCTGCTTAATAACTCATAACGCCCAAAATTCCTTGGTTGCTTCCGAGTGATGGAGAACTGGGGTACAGATCAGATCACAAAACAAATCGACTGTGAACGGTCTTGTCCCCAAATTCTACGCCCCGCTGTAAAGGTTGTGTCACTTCAGCATTCACTGATAAATAAGAGAATACTGAAAGCACGCTCTCTCTCTTTAATAAAAGAGCCACAAGACCATTTTTCAGTTTCCATTAAGGAAAACTCTTCACGAGGCAACTCCCAGTTGGGGTTCCCCTGTAAATAAGCATGCTAGTAAATCTAACCACCACACTGGAGCACCAGCGAGTGAAACCCACCCTAGCATTTGTTGAGATGTGACCTGAATTGCCCACAAACCCAGAACCCCAAGCTCATCCTGCCTTAGCCAAGCTAGCACCAGGGAAAAATTCCTCCCTGCCCCAATAAAAGTCAGTTTTCAGCACAAAACGAACTATCTGGTACGTCATCCGCAGTAGAAGCCCCCCAAAACAAGACAAATAGGAGATCTTAAGGACTGTCTACCTTCAGTTTAGCCACTGGATTACCACTGCGTATTACCTCTCCCCCCCAGCGCGGTTAATATCATGTGAATTCTGCCCAATATAACTCTTAAACAGCAAGGACAGACAGCTTCGCCCAACCAAGAGCCCCTCACTACTTTTATTCAAACTTTTGAAGCAACCAACAAAATGTATACCAAGACACGCATCTGCAGAGTATATTCTGGAAATTATACGCAGAGACCCAGAGCAGCCACTATACTTTCACCAAAATCTTTTATTCTAGGCAGTAAATAAGATTACTTCTAGTGGAATGGACTGCAGTTCTCCTTGGGATAGATTCCCTTCTGAGCAGCACTTAAACCAAGCCTTCTTATCATCTCTTTGGGAGTAGAAGTAAAGAACGCTTTAGCACATTAAAGGTTTGAACAATCCAAGCCCTCAATTTTTCTAATTTTTTTTTTTTGTTTTTTAATATATCCTACAAGAAGTCTATAAGCTGAAACCAAAGTCTTAGAAACTCAGCATTAACAGAAAAATTGCTTGTGGAAGAAAAGTAAAGATGCCTCCATGGGTTATCCAAAACGTTTCATGAATATGTGTATATCAGCTTTCCACCACTGAATTTCGTTTCGCTCTGACTTCTAAAAAGGCACCAGCTTAACAAAGGAAATGATCTGAACAAAAGCCAGCCCACAGACTATCTCTGAATGGCATCGTCTATTGCCCCAAGAAAACAAACCCACACGTCCTTTCAGCGTGATGACACAGCAAATGTTAAATGAACATACATATGTGAACAGAAAATGTCAATGCAGTCCAACTACCAGAAAGAGAAAAATAAGTTACAGTGGAGTCACCCTGTTACTACAAGCATTAACGCCAGCAAAGTACCAGTCAGTCAATCCTACTCTTTTAATAGGTCTAGGTATAAAATTATACAGGAAGTAGAATAGGATAAGAATGTAAAATGCTATTTTATTCTATAGTAAACAGTAATTACTGTAGTCAGCCTAGGTCAAGCGAAATTTATGTGTTGGAAAATAATCAGAGGAAGAACACAGAACGAGGATTTTCGATTGCAAAGGGTTAGGACAAACATCTAGCCTGCCAAGCAGCCAACAGCAACTTTATTTGGGTCAATATAATTTATGATTCTATTGACTACATATGAAGATTTTCTTTTACATCTTATTTAGCAATTGGAAGCAAGTGGTCCAACCTCCTGGTTATACACTTTCCTTGACCAGTATCTATGCAAATGCTTCCCTATAGAGATACCCAAACCTTTCTCAAACCCCAGTCACTGAACTGAAGTTAGATAATATTTCCACTCTAATTAAATTTCCATGTGTTCTTTGAAATAATCTTCCCTCTTGACTTCAAGCATTTGATTTTCCACTTTTTATGATTTGGTTTATTTAATTCTGTATTCACATCTTCATTTTTATGCCGCTGTAGCACCTGAATTTGTCACATCTATTGCTTTTTTTTTTTTAAATCATCAGTTGTGCTAAATGACTAAGTAAAATTCCTCTCAACTGTTTTCGGAAAGCCTAGTCTCCTTGGTTCCTTGAAGTCTTGACTCCTATCTGTAACAGTCACTATTATCTAGAGGTTTCATAGACTCATGGAATGGTTTGGGTGGGCAGGGCCCTTCAGAGCCCCCCCAGCCCAGCCCCTGCAGTGCCAGGGACAGCTTTAACCAGCCCAGGGTGCTCAGAGCCCCGTCCAGCCTGGCCTGGGATGGTTCTGGGGATGGGGCCTCCACCGCCTCTCTGGGCAACCCCTTCCAGTGCCTCACCGCCCTCACTGTAAAACATTTCTTCCTTATGGCCAGTCTGAATCTATTCTTCTGTAGTTTAAACCCATCACTCCCTGTCCTGTCCCAGCAGGCCTTGCTAAAAAGATTTGAGTTGGAGCCCTTCAGGCAGAGGAGACAACATGGAACTACTTTCAATAAGCCTTACAGACACCCTGGGTGTTTCACAACAGCTAATACACAGGTAGAACACTAGACAGCTCTCTGGCTACTGGTAATCAGAAAAGTTTTCCAGCAAGCCCATTAATGTGATTTCAGTTCTATTCCCATCACCCTGAGAATAAAGGACATCCACCCTGATAGCCCTGCAAGAGGCACTGGTAAGATTTCCTACCCACAGGCAGTCCTCACATAGAGGGGGATGTTGCTTGTGATGCCATTTTGCCCCTCCTTCTGCATTTCCTGGTACCTCCAGCTTCTAGTTGGCAGAAAAAGAAGATTCAAAAACCAAATCTGCCTTGCCTTTGCAGGAGAAAACAAGACCTCAGTTTGCCATAGCTCAACACGCTACTCAGAAAAAGGAAAACAAAAATCAACGCACAACCCTGACTTGGACATGACATCAGGAACAAAGTCAAAAGAGACTTGCTAACCATCTGCCCTGAGAACAGAAGGCCCACCATTTCCCACCCCAGAGAGATCTACTGAGAAGCTGTCAAGTGCCAGCAGATATCCCATAGGGGATCAAATGTCTCACTTCTGACCTCAAAAAAAAAAAAAAAACCACCCAAACCCCAAACCCAAAAACCTCACACAAACAAAACCAAAGAAAACCAATTTAAAAAAAATAAAAATAATAACAATAAAAAAAAAACCCAACCCAAAACCCCACAAACTTGGGGTGTCCACTGATGCATTCAATGCCCCACAAGATATGAAGAGTTGAAAAGCAAACGTGAGGCATCAGAGTCAACCACCCCCTAGAGAAGGGGGGACCCAGTGCCACGCTGCCGTTAATACATCAGGTGATTGTGGCACCGTCGGTCATGACTTCAACACACACGTCTGTAGTTTGACACTGTTTCATATCAATTCTTAAATTCCAGAGTTTTAATACAGAAGCTCTATTTCATTACGCAAAAGTGCACTTGATGTTTATGTCAAAGTGTTTCTTCAGCCCATAAAGGACATATTTGTTACAGAACATCTTGAGAGCAGAATAAAAATAAAGGCATGCACTGCCGTAGTCCTGTGGATATGAGAGGAAGAACATTCTCTTCTGCCTCAGATGGCAAAGGAGAAGAATCTGGCCAAGAGGCAAAGTGACGATGAACAGCAACCTCTGATGCCTCCAGGACCTGATCTTCTCATTGATTACTGAAGAGCTTACATTGCTACTCTTCCTCAAAATTAAATGCAAAATCTAAGCAAAGGCCCCAAAATGCGTTGCTTTAATATATTCTGCCACAGCTCAGTAACAACTGCTCAAACGTTAGCTAAGTAGATACTTCATACTATCACTTTCTCCCAAATTAAATAGCTGAAGTCTTACCAGTGGCCAAGTTTGCTATTTTGGAGACTTTTCAAATGCTAAGAACATCAATTACTAACAGAAAAGCAACAGTAGTAACTTACAGTTCATAGAGACATGAAGTCAAGTGAGTGTACAAAGAGCTTATATACAAAAAGATAGTCTGCAACATCAAATACGATGCAGAAAGAGCCATATGATTTATTAACATGCTTTCAGAATTACTAAAAATAAGTCTTTAAGCCAGTTCTTTCTTCACCCTCCATTTGGAATTATTATAGATGACCAAAAGGAGAAGATTATGTTTTGGCTCAAGATTTTGGTAAGTGAGGATAATAATGGATTTTTACTTACTTATTTTTAAGAAAATTAAAGGAAGAGTATTAACCAACAATTTTACAGAAGCTAAAAATCAGCTTCAGAAACTATAATCTGAACAGCACTACCAATTTTTAGAAGAAAACTGATACTTGAGGGAGGAATTTAATGATGAAATTTGGGGTTTTTTTTCTAAATTGCTTAAGGATACATGGTGGTCTTGTTTAATAATGTCAAAATACTTTGAAGGAAGAGAAAAGGCTTTGGCAACTTTGAGAAAAAAGGGTTCACAGACAACATAATTAACAGTAACATTAAATAAAGGTCAAAAGTTCAAAGCAAATTGTATGTAAATTAAGCACGCAACAATGCTCAGTCTTAATTTCAATAACAGTTCTGCAAAAGCAACGTCAATATATTGAGCAGTATGAAATACTTCTAAGTACTAACAAGCAGTAGGAAAGACTGAGGGGAGAAAGAAAAAAAAAAAAAACCAAAAAACAACCCTAATCAGATCACAAACAAAAAGCAGCTCAATTCCACATGCTGGTTTCTGCATTCTACAAAACCTCAAAACCACAGCGTTACTGTTGAGCTATGATCCCATCTTTGCTATGAAATTCCAGTACACTTTCCGAATTTTTTTGCTAAACACCCTCTTAGGCTGTAAGACTGCCAGACTGCAGTGAATCTGATGTGCTCTGAATACGAAACACCTAGGATGTGCTGTAACAGAGATGACGCTGAAAAACACTGCAATAAAATTGTGAGTTGACTACGAAGTCGTACCAGAGTAGTAACTTTCCCCCTGGACAGAGGAGAACTCATCAACGTGACAACGCGATCATTATTCCCGCTCACCCCCGTCCCAAGCCCTCCTCATCCCCAACCTCGACTCCCGACAGATCTATGGGAACCGAACCCTCCCTTCTCATGAGTCACGACGGAATGATCCCGTTCCCTGGCATGACTCACTCACGTCTCAATGACCCACCCACACTCCCGACTCTACTCCTGGTGCAGCGAAGAGAACAAGGGACCGCTCCATGGCAACGAAGCACAAAAATTACAGAGAGGGCACAGTCTGGAAATGTGAAATATTTGCCTTGGTGGCTGTGATCAGCGTTACTTTCCACAGCCTTTGGGTGCAGCCAGCCAGCTGACAAATACACATGAAAAACATATATAAAGCAAGTTTTAAAAGGAACAAAATATGCCAACTCCATTCCTGGTACTCTGTGCTCATGTGAGGATATGTGAACATGAGAGTGACCTCCATGCAACACGTTCTCATGCTCATATCCCTTCTGCCCAACACAAGAAAACATCAGAGCTTTCTTCAGGCATAAGAGAAGGGTATTGCACCTTGGAAATAACATAAAACAGCTTATTTGGGAGCAGAGCCAAGACATTACCTACTGCTGAAAGCAAACTCACCCTCTTCCTTAGTGCTATTATTCATACCCACGGAGAAGTAAAATGCCACACAGCCCGTTCTCAGTATAAAAGTCTCAGCGATACGGCAAACAATATTCCCATTTCCATTTAATTGGGATTCCTCTGTTTTCTCAGAGAAATGTACAGCTCTAAAGCAAAACAAAGCCCGTGGGCAGAGAAAAGGCTGGGTAGTACACACTCTCAGTAGATGCTTTTGCTGCATCCAGACGATCCAAGACCGCGTGGCAAACAACCCACCGTCCGTTCACAGAGGAAGGGGGACGGAGAAGGCAGGGAAGTCAGTACGTACAACCCCACTCCAACTGCGAGGAGCAGAAGCTCCAGCAGTTCTATGAACTTACCATTCTGGGTAAGTTTTGTTGAACAAACTAGAGTAGAAATCTGGAAAGAGTCTTTGCTGATGGTGCAGCTTCCAAGGTTCTGCATGCTCTTCCCTGTTGCAGAGTGTCCCTTTTCCTCCAATTCTATTTTAGTGGATGGCAGACTTAAATACGTTGAGGCATCCTCCAGCTTCTTTGCTTCTGCCTACAGTAGCATTTTAAATACAATATGAAACAATTTTAAAATACCTAGTAAAAAGTTGGTAACAACAAAATTTTATTATTTACATTGGATTTTCTTACGTTTGCTCCAGAAATGGAGCTATCCAATGGGTCTTTAACAACAGTAATTTAGCACCAGCCTGTCTACAGATTAGAGCCAAGATATGATATTTAAAGGGCTAGAGAAGTAACTTTTCCCAGTCATGAAAACACACATGAAACTCGCTAACAAGTACCTTCAAAATTAAAACATGCCCAGTAAAACATACTCCAGGTTTAACCATCAATCTGCCAAATATGCGAATTGCACAGTACTTACTATTTAGTTGCTTGATCTAACAGAATAGTCTATAACATATTTTTCTGGGCAATTCTGTAACAATAATTCACTAAAAGTCAGTAGTACTCACGCTGAGCTAGCTACTATGGAAAGACTAAAGTATCTCAAAATTCTACCTTGTAAACTATAAGGTCATGTTCTCCATCTCTCAAAGTTGTTCCATCGTATCTCATGAGCTTCACAAATGCTAGGGCAAATATCTTCTCAGATTTATCTTTGGCTGTTACAAAACAAACAAACAAACAAAGCATAATTAAGTATTTGATACTAGTACAGACAGTCCACCTAATCTCAAAAACATGGATAACCTATAAATGAATGACCATAGTAAAGATTCTCAGTTGGAAAAAAGGTACAAGAAATTGGAAGAGTCTTCTAAACTCAAGATAGAACCAAAAATACAAGAAATAAAATGCTTATAAATCTGGCCATGGCAGCAGTAACTAGATGCTTAATATTTCTATAGTCTGTGTGTTCATTTAGAAAGTGGAATTAAGGCAACTTTTTAAAAACAAAACAGAAATTTAATGCATTTATAACGTTTAGGGTTTTTTGAGTTAGAAGAATGGCAGTGCTTAGTACCTAGAATAATGATTTAAAGACCAGCACCAAGGATCTCATCAAGGCTCTATCATTTATAGGGGGAATATTAGAATCAAAACAGAAATTAGATCCATAACTACAGATGAAGTGCCTGTTTCTGAAAGCTGACTCACTCTACATCTAATATGAAGTAGAAAATGCATTCAGTTTGCTCTCATTGTTCAAAATCTATTATCAAAAGTTAAGTAAAAACAAAGCAATGGGGCAAGCAGAAATCACAAAGTAAGTTAAGAAGCAAAACCAGAAGGCAAGTGCAATCAACTTCAGACAGCCCAAGCAGCCTGTCAGAAAGCCCTGCAGCCCCAAGGCACAGCCTGTAATTAATATCTAAACCATGGCCAACTTTAATTTTTGAGTCATCATAAAAATATTTCTGACTACTAGTCTGTAGTGCACAATCATAATTTTGACACTGATTTTTTGCATATTGCTTTCATTAGCAAGTATCAGTCTCTAGACTAAGTAAATCATTTATTAATGATCGATTTGCAAAATATACAGCTTCAATTAAATAACTGCTATGGTGTAATGTACTACTTACTACACATTGCACAGGTTAGTATACAGGAAGAGTATTACACATCTTAAAACACATCCAGTGGACACTACCTGATTAACGCTTTTGTCTATGCATTTATTCTACAGCAAAAACATTTTGCTGCAGATTTTGAAAGGCTTTCCTATCAAGCAAGACAGCCCCTGTAATCACTATATGGAATGAACATTATCACAACCAAGGCAAATCCCCACACTTTACTACAAAGCAGCTGTTGACAAATGGAAGATGTCTAGCTGTCTCGATCTGATCCTCAGCAGCTCAAAGCATCTCAGCTGCCAGCAACATTACAGGAAAGCAGAGGAAAACCACAAGCTCTCAAATACCTCTTAGACCAAAATGACTTCAAAACAACCACAAGTCAGTCTGAGAACCAGAAACCACGTTTCTTAATAGCTAAGTCTTCAATTGCTGATGCTAAGCCCACTGTAAACTCTTTCACGTTCCCGTTTCACGAGTGGGGTTGTTAAATATCTTTATCACTCCCTACCCACCTACCTCTAAGACACACAATACCACAACCCTTTCAGCTGCTAACCGAAAGCTTTATTCTCTAGCCCTTTTACTTGACTTGGAGAAAGAACTGGGCAGGAAAGGAAAAATTTGATGTCAATAGGTAAGAGCGAGGAAGATGTAAAGGGAAAAAGAAGCTGAGATGCTAACGTAAAAATAAGCAGGCAAAAAACTTATCCTCACACTAAAAGCAATTACAATAGTCAATGACATATTAGGAACAATATGCCTGTTTCAGCAGATTTTTGGCACCAGACACTGACAAGAACCATAATGAAAAGGCTGAATTACTCACAGTCCTGTGATGATCTATGACGGAACGTGAACCTTAAATGACTGCGGTTCACATCTTCAATGGGGATTGCGACCTTCACATGTTGGGAAAGAGGACGGAGAAAGAAAACTGTCAGTACAGTATCTTCAAAAACATCATCGACCGCTACCGAACCTCATTTAGACATCTTTCAGCAGTATGTTTGGCTCTTTCAGAAAGATTAGTGTGAAGTACCAGCTTCATTTTGCCATAGACGACCTTGAAAGGTCATAGATCCCCCCGGAAAATCACCAATTCTTGCACCAAGAGAGAAGGAATAAAGGAAGCCTTTTAAGTTACCCAACAAGACCTGCAACGTCAGATGTTGGGCTGTAAACTCAAAGCCGCCCCTACCACTCCCCCCACCGCAGGAACGCGCCCCTCTTGAGCTTGACTGGTAGAGGGGAACTTGATCATCAACAGCAGCCAAGCGAGAATTCTTAATGTATCCCTCATCTAGGCAACACTTGTACAACATACACCATTAGTGAATCTCTGATTCGTGTGTAACCCTTGTGCAGAGATGTAACCAATGCTCTTCTCCCCCAGTATTTTTGCTGGAGCCGTCGTATTTTCTTAATCACAGCCACATTCAGGCTCTGCGCTGTACGCTGCTCCCCAACACCACGTCTAGGTTTCTGCCATCCCTAGCAGCCGCTTTCTGCCTACAGATGCAACACGAGCACCTTTGGACTTAGAACAACAGTGTGGGGAGCGCTAAGTCCCTTCTCAGTACACCTACACTGCTGCCACTGACTACAGCTAGACAGAATGTATTTTATAATCTAACATCAGCCTCCTCTGTAATATTAAAACTTGGCATTTAAGCTAAAATGTTATTACCCAAGCAAATTCAGCAAGCTTAAAGCACAATCACCCAGATCCCAAAACACTGATGAGTTCAACACTATGGCAATTATGTTTTCACCTTAATAACCTGCTTCTACAGGTCAGCTTCGTGGAAATAGAGTAAACCATTCCAAACAGATGTTGGACTGCCCCTTTAGCAGTCGCCCTCACCAAAAGGATGAAATAAAACGCATTATGCAATAAAAGCCAAATCTATTGTCCGGCAGTCTCTGAAAGCCTTCCTTAGTTGAGCTATTCCGTTTGTCCTGCTAAACATGACCACAAGCATTGAATTTCCCTAGTTTTGTTTCTCATGGCTTTTCACTGAAACCTGTATTAATTGCATATTAACCCACACAGAGGCAGTTATCGTAACAGTTTATATACCTTTACAGTCTCAAACCAGCGAGGCTGCTTTACTTGGTAATATATTACTGACTTGTACTCTGAGATGGCTTCATCACCAGCGCCAGGAAAAATAACACTCTTGAAAACACAAACAAAAGAGAAAAATGTTTATGTCTGTCTTAAACACCACTGTTTCATTCAAATAAATAACAACATTAGTGAAGTAGGGCAAAATAAGACAAAATGGCTCATGCTCAGAGCTCCTCATGAAATTAGGATCGAAGTGCATGCACTGGTATGACAAGATGTATTTAGTTGTGACAAAGGAGAAAATTTTGTCATCAATAAAAATAGGGACTTTGGTTGACAAATATAGAGAAATATGTTGAAAAGGCTTAAACAGATATGTATCAAAATCAAAAAAAACAGATGTTAAATATTTTAATACCTCTAATCTTTTGCCATCTTCATCATAAACAGATACTGTCACTTCTACATTCTTTGCTGTTGTTTTACTGCCTTTGTCAAAATCTCCCTGAACCAATGTTACATAGATGTCATTACGAACATCACCTAAAAGAAAAAGCAAAGCACAAAGTTCTTAGCAATTTTCACAGCACACCTATCGATTTGTGAAACCAGTGATGCATAGAAACAACCACCAACACATTTTACTAACAGCAATCATACATTTACAGGGCAAAACATTTAAAAGAACATTTAAAAGCTGTGGCATCTTGGACATTCAAAACTAGCAGTACTGCAAACAGCGGTTTAGCTAAAATTGTGCTAAGAGTAAAGTCTGAACTATCAACTCATAGTGCAGCAAGGTGAATCTAACAAACAAAAATCACTCGTTATTTACACAGCTTCCTTCATTATTAATTCAAATGGATGAATTTCAACACAGTCATTAATCTATCCCATACACAGATATTTGGCCATTTACAAGTATCTAAACAGCCTGCAGATGTCTGTTTAACTTGTTACACAGGGAAGCAGTCTGATGGTTTTGCTGGCTTGGGGGTTGCAGGGGAGGGCTGTATTTAGCTTTATGTCTTAAAATGGTCTTCAATTACGCCCCAATTCGATTGAAATTTGGAAAATGAATTGTGGGAACCGGGGATTTCCAATAATTTCACGAGGCAGATGGTTTACCTGCCAAATAGGACCAGAGCAAGCAGAGGTGCTGGGGCGCTTACGCCGCGCTGGATATATACAGTAAAACAACTGCCAGATGCAGTCAGCGACCACAGGGAGAGCTGGAACTGCGATGGTTTTTGAAAATATCTGATGGACCCTCCAGAGCCCATCAATCTGAAAAGGACAGCGCAGGGTTTTTTCTGTAGTCTGTTGCTTTAGCAATTTTTATTTTGAGAAGCACCGCGGTTTTGGGGTTTTTTTTTGTAAACAACAGAATTGAACATTGACAAAATATATCTGTTAAAAAAAGACAACATTGCTTTCTTTCAAATACGTTATCCAAATCTAGTACAAACCCTAAGAGACCTGCATCTCTCTAAATCAAGCCTGTTCCTCTGAAAAATCTTTCTGGTTTAGATTCATCACAGGATGTAAGTTTTACATATGCCCTTGCTAGGAAGAGAATATGAAGCATTCACTTTGTATACATTTTTCTTCACTGGAGAAAGAGGAGAATCTCCACTGTCACTGTGATACCACGTCGGGGGGGTGATCAGTTGGGGGGTGGGGAGAGGTGTTACTTTTATTTATTTATGCAGCACATGTGGCAGGTATTACCAAAGTATTTCACTTTTATTTTAAATGAGACAAAATCCTTTGTCGATCTGTTATTTCTAATGTATACCATACCTCAAATTCATCTTTCCCCCCCACCACCACTTCCATACATACAGATATTTAAAGAAGGTTAAAATATAACAAAGCAGCCTTAATTCACACAATGGCTTACCAGGCATAATAATCTCAGGAAACCCCATTTTCCGAGCCACGGCTGTTGACCTATCCACTAAGTGTGGAAACTCTTTCCTAATCTGATGAATATCTCCTGGAAGAAGTTTCAAAGTCACCCACAAACCTGTTGTGTAAAAACCACAATTATTAAACCGGTGTTTTTTTCTGGGTACTAAAGATTTCTTTTTACAAGAACATACATTAGGGTAACTGCTCTTCATTTATAAAAAAAAATACATTTTACAAAGTATTTTAAAACACTCAAAAAAACCCCACCGCTTCAAGCGGAAACACGAGTACAGCACATATAAGTATGCCTGATTATATCAGACTTTCTGGAAAACTGTGTAAAATCCTCACCTGGAAGCTGACTGGCTCATAAAAAACCTGAGAAACTGGAAATCTGTGCAAGACAAGGATTCAGGCCCTTGTATTGTGCGCTTTGCAGCAATACCATCTAGAAGGCGTCTTGGCAGGGAGGAGTTAGGCAGATGTTCAAAAGCAGATGCATACAGCTTCCCACACACAAGCTTACTAAAGCCAAAACTTTTATTCCCAGTCTAAAAATTTCAAACGGAACAGGTCTCCATTCCGAGGAAAAACAGGTTAGCAGCACCATACAACATAAATTTGCAGAAGGAAACCCTTGGTTATCAGCTGGACCCACTGAAGTCTGAGCTGTGAAAATGGAAGCAAGCCTGCTGTGCCCTTGGCACGAAGCTGGAGCGACCCCAGAAGAATTCCTCCTCCTCGCCGAACTTTGAGAACTAGACTTCTCTCATCGCTTAAGTCTTCCACAAAGGGCCTTGTGGAAATAGTTATTAAGCCATTAGCAGAACTGCCTCAAGCTTTCATCTCTCCTTTGAACTCTCGCAAGCTCTTTCTAATGAAATGTTTATCTTCCACAAGAAGAGAAGTGGCACCGTTGATCTGAATGGAAAAACTGAAGTACTTAACCAACCGATATCGAGATGCCAATAGAGAGCACCAACAGCAGATATGTACCCTGAATTGATTCATCACCACCACCCCCATACGTTGTTTTTACTGCACTGCGCACAAAGAAATCTACAGCATCAGCTTTACGCTGTTGACATTCTTCTCTTCAGTAGCAGAAGGCGCCACTGAAAAGCCGCTGCTTGCCAACTAACATCAGGCACGCTTGTTATAGGAAAAAGAAAGATCCCAAAGGGGGTAGGGAGGAGAAAAGAAGTCTTACACACTTGGTGAAGTGACTGGCAATCAAGTTTAAGCACGAAATAATCACAGCAGCAATTTGCAGAAGAAAATCCTAAAATTAAAATCTATGAAAAATACCCCAAAAATATTCATCTGTAAAAGAAATTGTGGGTTATCCTGTCACACACACAATTAACTGTGCATTCATTTTGTATACATTTGGCAGCTAGCTTTCTTTTCTATTAAAGTCTCGTATGAAAGGCTATATGTTGACTTGTTGCCAGAGGTGGTTCTAACAGCTGCTGTTTCATTAAACAGTAACCGAACCTGCACCGACTGCCTAAGCAACAACTCTTAAACCTTTTCTGTTTGCCTGGGCGCCTTCCTTAGGGACAGAATCCAAAGTGAATCAAAGCAGCTGAAATGTTTCCTCCTTTCCGATACACATTGGCTGCAGGTGAAAACGGGGGACAAGCAGATCTAAGTTTTCCTCTTTAGTTACTGGCTAAATTTAAAAGTTTATTTAGATTTTATTTCCTATTAATTGATTTTAAAAAACAGCAAAAAAATCTATCATTTTCCTTAGGTCTTTCATTCAGGTATAAGTGATACGGATAAAGTGTCATATCCACTATGTATATCCGCTGTAAGTATGTATATCCGCTATAAGTGATAGGGATATGCACATACATAGCGTCAGGTGGAAACTCTGCGTTAGCCTGCGTAACAGTGTACTAATCCAGACCCCTTGCTCCCCGAAAGATACTGAAGCTAGCGCAGTAATAACTGAGCCATCATGCAATTAACTTTTTAACTGGTAGACACATTATCATCATGAAGTGTTGTATTTAGAAAATAATGGGGGGGGGAGAGACACACACAAAAAAACCCCCAAAACCCCAGACTTTGGAAGCAAGCTCACTTCCATGCCAGTGGGGCCACCCTGCTCTGGCCCCGTCCTCACCACCTGCGAGCCCAGGCGGGCGCGGTGCTGGCGAAGCGGAAAATTAAGGCGAAGGAAGGGACGGAAGAGAATATCCCCTCCTTCAACATGAGGAGCCCAAAGGCCACAGCTCAAGGGCACGAGAGCTGACTCCCTGAGTCATCGCTTCCAGTACGGAAACACAAGGATGTCCAAGTGACGGACAACGCAGCGGACAGACGGACAACCTGCAGAGCTAAGGCAGGGCGGGGGGAAAGGCGCAGGGCTGGGGGGAACAGCAGAATGAGGGCTGAAGGATGGGCAAGAGGGGGGACAAACCATGCAAACGCATTTTCTGCTACCAAACGGCAGTGAACAAGTGAAGGTAGTATCATGCACCCTTGATTCCAAAATTAAAATAAAAATCAAAATCAAAATCAAAATCAAAATCAAAATTAAAATCAAAATTAAAATCAAAATTAAAATCAAAATTAAAATCAAAATCATCACGTGTCGCAAATCAAGCGACGAGCGGTTTTAGGTACACGGGTGTATATAAAGAACGGTACGTACCCTGCCCCTTGTGGTTAACTTCTTTAGCAGCAATCACTTTGTTTATAACAGTCTGAAGGAAATCATTCTCCCCTGCCACCCTGGGTGAAAAACGGGATGATATGTTCAGCTGCTTGTGTCGAATGGCGTCATCCAACGCTAGCCTGGAGGATGCACATGACGACCAACACCAGGAAACAAAGGGTCACAGAAAACCAGAAGTCACAGTAACAAGGGAACACAAAAGATCATATCATAGTTGTGACAAAGAGTATTTATTAGTCAACGCAAGACAAAGGACAGGAAAGGTAACAAGAAAGACAGAGGAAGATCATTAATGAGAAGAACGCTGATCTACCACGGAGAAGTAGAGCACGCTGGCGTTGTTACTTCTCCCTTCAGGGACATGCAGGCACGGCCCCAGCAACGCTGTGCGAGGACAGGAACGACGTCTCCCGCCTGAGAATCCCCTGTTAAGCAGTGAAAACCTACGCAGGCAGTTTTCTCTTTAGTATATACATAGCAGGCGGGCCCCGCAACACCTCCAGGGCCGCTGCTGCCATTCCGTGGTTACGCAGCAGTGCGTACCGCCCGAGGGAAAAGCTACCGTAAATCTCACGGAAACGGCATAGGAGAAGAAGAGCACATCACCCAAACATTCTGTTAAACTTGATGAATAAATGAAAAGATGGAAACTCTAAATAAACAGCAGCATTAAGTGTCATTTAAGTAATCTTGCCAAGTGCTTTTGACAGCCATTGTGCTGGTGGCTAGTGAATGAATACAAACAAAGAAAGATATGAAAACAGAATCGCATGTGGTACAACAGAAGCAAAGCATGGAATGAGAAGAAAAAAACGTGGCTGATATACAGCCTAAGTCTACGTTGGAAATAATGACAGCAGTACTCATTGCCTGTTTTCACATTATTCACATTCTTTGGAATATACTTTTTCAGAAGAATGTTTTAATTTATTGCGGAGGGAAAAAAAATCACATTGTACATCTTTTCAAAAAGCTGATTTATATATACAGAAAAAAATAAATCAGTGTTAATGGAGCAGAAAACTAGATGTTCCATCAGCATCCACTTTGATACAAAAAGATTCATTTTCATTGCATACTTCCACACTCACTAAAAAATAAGCTGGCTATTGTTTACCACACAATAAACATATGAACTCGCTCTTCCCTAAAAACCCCTGTTTTCCTTGAAAAATGGAATTGTAATTCTGATTTTCACATTAACACCCTCTACACCACTCCAGCGACACTGCTGCATACAAACGAAACCGTTTCGAGACGGGAGGCACGCACCCGCTCGGCCCCCTGCAGCACCTGCAGACCTTGCCATCCTCTCAGCCCTACACCTGCAAGCCACGAGGGCTTCCGGAATTAAGCCTATATTCCAAAACACAGTTAATTGGACATTACATTACTTCAAGCTTTTTTTTTTTTAAATATTATTAAAAACCCTCTGAATATCCATTAGTATATTAATCAAGAAATTTAGCAAACATAATTATGTTTTGCCATTTTGAATAGATGGCAGTCTAACATTTCACACAATGGTAAAACTAAGCATTCCTATTTTATGCACGTTTATTTGACTTGTCCTTTCTACCTTTCCCCACTTCATGGAATAAAAAAAAACCAAACCATTAACTACGGATGGAACACAGTATTTGCCCCATGTCCTTTTTGTTAATAAGCTTTTACCTGTAAAAGTACTTTCTCTGCACATATCTACAAATTCACAAAAATTCAGGCTATTAAGCCCATATTTCTTAAGATGATTTTGTGGCTTGAAGTCAAAACTGATCTTTGCTATTACGTTGAAGTCATACATGTCCGTACTTTAAAGGACACCAACTCCATATTTGCTACTAGCTAATTTAATTATTGTAAAATAGTATCTGTCAAACTCCACGTCAGCAACCTTAGAGTCAGTGTGGAAAGGTTTCCAGTTTCAGATGACTAAAAGTAAGACCACGTCCACACAGCAGACTCGTCTCCTCGATGCTGTGAGCCAGCTATAACTGGCATGCACAGCAGAAACATCCTGCCCCTTACCATCCAACCAAAATACCTAAGGTTTCCAGTAAAAGTCTCGCGTGATAAAGTTGAGTTATGAGAAGATAACTGCAGGAGGTATATCAATCCATCCTTTAAATTCACAACTTTTGTTTGTACTCCAATTACTGTGGCCCCTACTATGAAATTATATCTGTGACCAAGAAAAAGATAAATGTTATCGTTTACCAATTTCACAGAAGTCACCTAGAGCGGATGTCGGTAACTCTGCTGGTCTTTATCAATCTCAGACAGAGCTAAACCAGCAATGCATTTATTTTAGGCATTTCACCTCTTACACATTATCCCCCTGACATCTTTAAACAAAAAAGAAAACAAGACTGCAAAACTGGGAATGCAAGCTTTAAACTCCAGACCAAAAAAAAAAAAAAAGTTTCTGGGGCTATCACTATTATAACTAACAGGAAATTATCAAGAAGAAGCATTAGTAAGTACTAGTCAAGATAAAATATCACACTGAAATCCATTTACTTCAGAGTAGCTACAGAACACTTCTTCTTATCAAAAGTTTAATTTTTTTTTTTTTTTTAAATGGAAGTTAAAGTATTAATTCTTTCAATTCTGCTTATTTTTTACACTATTCCCTACTTACGGTTGAAATGGAATGAAGTGCTGTTTGTCCTCATCGTCAACTTTGCCGTTGATTATGTCAGTAACATCCATTACTGAAAACAGAAACAAAGTGCCCTGAATTAAGTGAGCAACATGGGAAGAAGGGTGCTGAGGGAACACCCCGGGGGACTGGAAGCAGCAGTGACTCAGAAGAAGGATGGAGTTATCAGCTGTGCAATTTCAGAATTTTCCTATGCAATAACATCATGCTGCAAATAACCTTTGGCATCTCTAATTCCAAGTCCTGAAAGTTACAGCAAACTCTACAGCGCAGCAATCAGCCTGATGAAGCCGGACCCGGGAACAACTCTGAGCTTCGCAGGAGCTCCACACACCCGACTTTCTATGCAAGAATACCGCGTGATATAGGCAGACCCAGTGCACAGAGTTACCTGCTACTCCGAACGGTCGCCGCAGCCCGGAGGTTAGTTTTCTCGTGTTGTTGTCCCTCAGCTCCATTCTGCCCACTCGCACAATCTGACAGACAAAACTGATTTTCTCTCTTTTCAGGTCTTTGCTGCCCAGGTCCTAGAAAGAGTAGTTGCTTCAGATTACTTTATACTAATTGAATTTTAAGTTCCATTTTAGCAGGCAGAAGGTTTGCTGCTTAGAATTTGCCTTCGCCATGCTCGCCTCTAGCACCAGAGCAAACTGCTCCTTCTCAGAGTAAAGTTTTTGTAACAGTACTTAAACATCTTATCCTGACTTCTGTGTAAATTAATTCCTTAGGAGGCCAAATCATTTGTAGTAAGTTAAAACTTCAAAGAGCGACTTTGTTTTTAGCCAGGTGTTGAGAATTTTTAGTAGCCACTTATGAGAAATGTCTCATGTGAGCCTTCACCAGGATCATCACCTGCAGAGGTAACTCCATGCTGTTTACGTACAGATCATCAAACTCCTCAATTATTCACAAGCTATGAGACAAGTGCTTTAAAATTTGCCAGCTGAACCAAGCCCGCACACTTACGGTGAATACTGCTCGAAGGTTATGCAATCTGTCTATATCTTTGGGGAGTCCACAGCTTGACCATCGCACCAAGTAGTTTTCACTGAAAGAACAATATTTTGAGGACTTTTTGTTTCAACGGCTTCCTTTAACGTAAGTATATAAAATCAACTTCAGAATTTACAGAAGACTATTTTAAACCCAATCTACTTATCCTAAACAAATTAATATCTACTCAGTGGAGAGCTGGCATTTGCCTTTGCGTATATCATTTATAAAAGCAAGCAACTCCTCAGCAACAAAGTGTAAGAATTTCTTTAAGGAAGCAGGGCACGTAGAAATGGAAGTCTCAGCTTAGCACCACGGCTGCTGCCAGGCGAGGGCAGGCAGCCTCGCAGGTGTGTTCACGTCTCGTTTAAGCTCTGCACCTGGGGAACCACAGGCACAGCGATGAGGAACAGCGACCCCGAAAGCTGCCCAAGGTGAGGAGACTTGCCCGACGCCGCGCTGAACACGACGACGAAGTGCTGCTGCACTGTTCCTTCCCAGATGACCCTCTTCCCTATGCCCTTCATGGAAATTTGACTTTCATAAGCCCTCTCATCCTGCTGCTACAACTGAGTAAGCACAGATTAGGGAGCACGCTCAGGAGCACACTAACCTGATAAATTTTGATTCCAGTGGATCATACAGAGACATCAGGACTTCAGCATCTTCTCCTATTTTACAGACTACATTTTTTAAATTTACAAATAAAGCAAATGAAGGAGTGGCAGCAAACTTGGCTTGTCTGTTGATATCGATATTTTGTTTCTGAGACTGTAATTCAAGAAGAGAAGAAACTCAGATTTAACTTAGCCTAACAAATATCCAACCGCTATAAAACTTTGCTAAAATCTTTCAGACAGAAGAAGAGGGGTTTTCTGTTGAGTGTCTACTCCCGTGATCTTTCTTTATATTAGGATTTATGACAGATTGCATTTCCCGGATCTGTCTTGAAGTGCCACACCATAAGGGGTGGGGCGGGGCAGAGGGAAGTCTTCACTTACGAAAAAGAGAGCTAAACCAATGGAAGAAAATACAGAGCCTCAAATATACCCGACCAAAAAAAAAAAGAAGTTTGTTCTTTGCTTTGTCTGATGTTTTTCTGACAGGTACAGAGTGCCAAGTCTGAGAATGTCTTTAAATTTGCCTCCTGTATTTCAACAACCAAATTTTCAGGATTGGCATACAGAAATCATACAAACAAAATAAGGACATTATTCTACTTGATTCTCAAAAAGAAACTCTCATGACAGCCTAACATAACAAACCTGCTACATATGCACCTCTGGTATTAACCTACAACTGTAGTCAACTTATTGATACAGGTCTTAAGCATAAATTCTGCTAAGCCCTTTAAAGGACTGAAAAGACAATTAAACAGGCTAAGACGTAAATGTTTAAGCCTGGTAACTCTTCATAAACATAACAAATTCTTCATTACCAATGCTGAAAATAACAGTCACCTAGTTAGTCTTATGTTTCAAAAGGAAAAGCTACAGGGCATCGCGTATCTTACTTTTTCCTCCTGTAGCCTCTCTTCAACTTGCTTAGAAGCTATTTCATGTGCTCTGAAAAGGCTAATCGTGCTGGTCTGCTCTGGGTCCAAAATATTGCCATCTTCATCTCTAACGACCAGATCTAAATCAAGAATTCTAAACAAACAAAAGAATACGCTTGTAAATTAACAGTGCTCAAAGAAATGCTCAAAAAACACCTGCGAAGTGTTTAACATTAAAGTCATGCACACTTGACATACAATAGGAAAAAAATCAGTTGATACATGATAAAACAATTTAAGATGTCACCAACGCCGGAGATAACCACCCCTGGCTGGAAGTCACCTCTTCCCCCAGCACAGAAAGAACCAATGTAAATGAAATAGCAGAACAGCTGGGAAGTAATTTCTTAAACAACTAAATTTGCAAGAGATTTATCTCCTCCTCTGAATCATCTGACAGCTTGAACAAACAACCACTACAGCCACACACATGCAAATCGGTCAGTTCATTTCGTCCCACTCCACATTCTCCTCCAAAGCAGGCATATTCGTGTTTTAGCAAAAACCTAGGAGATACAGGAAGGCATAAGTTGTTGCTCTTTATTTAAAGCAGAAGCCAGATTTCTGTCAGCAGGGTGTTAACGTCCACGATTACCTTCTGCAGAGAAGAAGGTTTCTGCCATAATCAAATCCAGTCTTAGGAAAGACCTTTCACATTTTTCCACATTAGTACGGTGCTGGCAGCAGAACCAAGGACAAAGAGCCATTGGGTCTAGATTGATCCGCATTTCTCCACCTACCTTCCCTAAGACTGACCTCCTCACCTCCGCTCCAATATGGTCCCTATTCTCTTCGTCGAACTCGGTAGCCACCTCTCACGATGAAGCTGCTGTAACTTGGGTTTTGAAACATGTTTGATCAATAAGCTTAAATCCAACCTTGCAGTGTGTGATAAGCCACACAGAGGTTCGCGGTTTATCTGCGAGTAAGGCCCCTGTGGACATGACCCGCAGTCACGTAGAAGATGAACAGGAGCTGTGGCAAACGAAGGCGTTTCATGTACTTAGAGAATCACGCCTCGCCCCTCCCTTGCAAGAGGGAAACCTGGAGGTCTGAAACAAAGCCTTGAGCAGGGACAACACAGGAAGCCCTCCAGTTAATTGCACTGCAATAATTCAAAGGTGGATGAACATCAAGTTGCAGAGTGCAGGCAGCAGCTCATTAAGAAACTCCTCCTAAGCTCTGCTCTGTAACTGGACCTACTCATCACCACGCTCTCCTACGCATCCCCAACCACCAAGCTCCCAGGTGAATCTTCTGGCGAGAAAATGGCTTCATCATTGAAAGCAAACAGAAGAGTAACCAAAAATTGTCTTGCTCCTCCCTACGACTGTTTCCCGGACAGCAGCCCCAGGAGATACCACCACTGGCCACTTGTATCACAGCCGTCAGCCCTGGGTGACCAGCAGCAGAGTGCTTCCGTAGGAGACACCCGCCCGGACCAGCGGAAAAGGTAACTCAGAAATTCAGAGAAAGACTAATCACCCAGCCTACGACACACTAACAGGTCAAGAATGTTCGTACAGACTGTCAAATAAATAGAAGCAAACACTCCTTTGATTTCATTTCTTTGTTTTATCCTTTAATTTGCAAATGATGTTTGGAAAAAAACCTGGAGTTTTTTCTTAAGTGGCCCAGTTACAGATTTTTGCAACTGAACAAAGAAAAAAAAAAAAAAAAAAAAAGCTGTTTTCACAACAAAATTACCTGACCCAATTTCAGAAAGACATTAAACACACAAATTCATAAGACCATTTTTACTTCCTCGGTTATTTTGACAACAAAGCAGTGAAATGGCTGTCTTTATTTATAGGAAAAATCTTATTTACATACCAGTATTTCACAAAACAGGAAAAGTTAGGATATGATTAGATCAGAAAACATTTATAAAATGCATAATGAATTCATTCTGTCTGGATATTGAAATCATCATTCGTGCTTATTTTAGACAAAAGTGAACGCATGACTACATTAGAAACATATGGTATCTTTCAGTTGTGAGTATTTACTCAGAAGTTCAAATTCACTTCCCTCCTGCACACCGCAGACAATGTTCTGATCACTTAATTAGTCCATCAGAACATTATGAATATAAAGCACAGCACAAGATGTTCCATTGTATTTGAATGAGGGGGTTATTCAGATTAACTTTAACCAACTCCTTAGCCAGATGGTAAAATACAGTAGCCAAACATATAATATCAACAACATCTGGTTAATTGTCTACTGAGGTACAACAGTCCGTATCTTGGATTATAAATGATAATTACTGACTGAATGCAGTTACTGATGATTTTTTTTTTATTATTTTTTTTTAAATCACAGCTTTTGCTGATAAAGTGCATGAACAGAAATACTGCAAATTTGGCAGTTAAGGAATAAAACACAAATAGCTGAAATCTGATGAGTTATTTGCATCACAAGGTATTTAAAGATTGGCTTGCTGAAAACTTTTTCAGTCCCCAGGTACAACATTCTCTCTCAGTATTCAAAGCACTGCTTCAAATAATTTCCTGACTGAGGTGTAAGATACAATTTCTCATTTTCAGTCAAAATGGCAAGTCATAACTGTATAGACAATTTGTAACCTAAAACTTGTATATAAAAAAATTTTGCTCTCCACTGTTTGGAGAGTTAATATGTCTGAATTATGAACGTATCTAACAGATGCAACGTATACTGCTGTCTTTTTTTTTTTGGTAAATATTTCCTTCACAACTTCCATTCTCTTCTATTAAATAGATACTTTCTGTTATTAAATCTGCCTTTTAATCTTCTGGTACAAGCTGGATACTATATAAGTAGAGGAACTATGAGCTAAACGATGCTTCTGAGCCAAATCCTTCAGCATCACATTACAGCTAAGTGACTTCAGGGCACACGCAGCTGGTGGTGTTGAGAAGGCAACAACTGTTTAAGCTGCAGGAGCAAGTAGAGTTTAAATTATATTTTGAATGGAGGCAATACTTGCACTTTTCAACTGACCTTAAAAATTACAACTTCATACCGGTATCAAATTGATAATATCATCAAGCAAGTGAGAGAGTTACATACGGATTCCACTTTACATATTATAAGTTGTACTGTATTTTAAAGATGTTACATCAACTTCATTATTTGTCCTTCTGTAACAGGACTGTAAATATACTACTATTACACCTCCATAAATACAGTAATAAAAGAATCTTGCAAGAATTTTTGACAGCTAATGTGTATTACGCAAGCTGATTTGGTTTTAAGCACAAACACTTGGAAAATATTGTTCACAAACCTGTTGCCATAATCAATTTTGGCAGTCACTTTCTTTTTCAGTTCTTTGAGTTCATCCTGGGGCAGGGTCCCAGACAGTATTTGAGATCTCCACTCAATAAGATCATATATCATGTGCCGTACACTGCGAAACATTTCTCTGTTATCTTGCTGTTTGGAGAAAAGAGATGGGGAGAAGTTAGTTTTGAAGTCTACTGAGCATCTTTTAAATACATACAATAAATTGCAATTATACTAACTCAAAAGAGTCTACAATTAGCTCTAAAATAGGAAGCTAACTTTCTATAGCACAGAACACTGAATACGAAGTGACTCACACTCTGCTTTAGGTATCTAAATAAGTGTAAATGCTTGTGTTTATGTTACCTGAAAACCCAGGTCATACTGTATTCAGAACAGGCATTCAAGGGAGAGAGATTCTTTTCTTGGTTCACAGAGTAACTTTATTCAATGACCCTCTATACTGAGTAGAGCAGAACTAAAACCAGTGCATTTTAACAGCAAGAGGCTTAAATTCTGCAATACTCCCATCTGCAACACATTAGAGAACCCTTTTCCACCCCCTAGTTAAATCTTCAGAATAACACTTCAAAATTCCTCAGTGTGCAAAGTCAAGCACATCAGATCATTTTAAAATTCCTCAGTGTGCAAAGCTGAGCACATCAGTACCTTACGAGTCCACAGGTAACATGTGAAGGCAAGTGGAAAACCAGGAAAGCACTAAACCTTATAGGAAGTTAAATACCTTAATAGTTCATAAAGGCTGGAACTATGGATATTAAATAGCGCCAGCAGCACATGCAAACTCTCCTTGGCAACACTCAGCTAAGCTAGGACACAGGAAGACAAAGTTCCGGACTTACAATGGAAGAAACCTCTTTTCCAGAGCGTTTTCTGTATGCATGCCCATGCACACATGCATTAGAGACAAAATATCACATCTTTAACCACAAAACAGAATTTGACCTGTTGGTTTAAACTGTGGACAGTGCACATACACAACAATTTTAGCGCAAACAATACGATGCAAAACTGAAGTTGCAGAACAATAGCCTTTCTATTTTTATTGTGAAAGATAATGTTGAGACAAAGACAACGCAGAGGCCCCGAAGGCTTTGATCTTACCCAGAAGCAGTCTCTCTCACTGTCTTCATAACCCTCATAAACCATTAGTTCAATACAATCTTAAAAAGAATACATCTTTCTAAACACCCTGCATCAATGAATTACTCAGGCTACGTGTAGCTATCTTTCATTCAGACTACACCCAGGCCTTATTGGACTGAAAACAACTGGAATAATTAAATAATTAAAATAAAATTCATGGCTATATATAAAAGACAATGAAAAACCGCAGAAGGTGCAGGAAAAGAATATAATGACTCAAAGACTCAGGGATAAAATATCTAACTGTGAAACTTAAAGACTTCAGTCTGTTCAGATTATCAAAAAGCTGACTTGATTATAGTGTGAGAACCTTCACAGAGAGAAAATACCCGTTATTAAAAGCTCTTTAATGTAGCAGAGAAAGACACAACAGGCACATATGGCTGGAAGCTAAACACAGACAAATCCAAATGAGAAAGAGGTTCATGATCTTCGATGCTGCAGGCAATTATAAACTAGTGAGATGAAGAACATGCCACATCCTCTGCTATCTCAAATCAAAACTGAATAAAGGCACAAACGTGGTCATTTAATGACTTTTGATATACCAGGCGTGGACAACATGGAATATCTCTCTAGTCTGCAGACTGACCAGTTTGAAACCAGCTACCTCCAGTAAACCACATTCCCCTTGAAAAGGCAATCCCAGTGCACCAATGCTCTTTTCGGCAGTTGAGCACATGCAATTATCTAGTGATTGAGATACAAACTACAAACAAACCCATTAAGTGACCTATCTACTCAGACTAAAGCTGTAACAGGCACTGGAACCCCTTCTGCTACCAAACTCGGGCCACTGGTAGCGTCACATCTTGCCTGCTCTTGAATTCAAAGTTACGAGCAAAGCACTGCGGTATTGTTTAGCTGCTCACGTGTCCTCATGGAAGTAAATGCATGACAAATGAGATGTTAAACATTAACGGTTAGGAGAAGTGATTCCCACACTAGAAGAATTTTATAATTTCCTAAAAGTTACTGCTACAAAACCCACACACAAGTCTTGGTAAGAAAACTTCCAACAATGTCTCTTGTTATTTTTCTTATACGGGCACTGCAGCTGAGTCTTGTGTGGTTCTGCAAGTGGTATTTCTCTGACGTTAAACAATATCAGATTTCGTACTTGGGATAATCCTCAAAAAAAGACATCAGGGTCAAAATGTAACCCTCACTGTCCTCAGCAGCACACAGCAGAGGAACAAGGGCAAAGCTGCTATCAGTGTACTCTTCAGATTCTGCTGCTCCCAGTTTGCTTCTGCCTGTGTACTTCTTCCTTGCTCCTCCACACGACCTCTCTACTACCACATCACATTAAAGCACTCTCTTTAATACGTCATGGAATCATAGAATGGTTTGGGTTGGAAGGGACCTCAAAGATCACCTAGTTCCAGCTCCCCTGCCACAGGCAGGGACACCTTCCACCAGACCAGGCTGCTCAAAGCCCCGTCCAACCTGGCCTTGAACACTTCCAGGGATGGGGCATCCAAAACTTCTCTGGGCAACCTGTGCCAGTGCCTCACCACCCTCAGAGTGAAGAATTTCTTCCTTGTATCTAATCTAAACCTCCCCTCTTTCAGTTCAAAGCCATTACCCCTTGTCCCATCACTACAGGCCCTTGTAAAAAGTCCCCCTCCAGCTGTCTTGCGGGCCCCCTTCAAGTACTGGGAGGCTGCTGTAAGGTCTCCCCAGAGCCTTCTCTTCTCCAGGCTGAACAGCCCCAACTCTCTCAGCCTGTCTTCACAGGAGACGTGCTCCAGCCCTTCAATAATCTGTTTCTCTTCATACATAATCTGTTTCTCTTCATATACCATATTATCCTTCATCTCATCTCCTACAACACTACATCACTTCCAGCACACTGTATTTTTAATCTTTATTTTCATGGGTGTGATTAAAAACCACATTAGTCAACACAAACATCTTCATCTCCAGTTAGTGTCTTCATTACACAGCTTGCACTTTTATGACAGAACATTTCAAACATATTTATAAGAAACAGAGACTGTGCATTAAACCCTACTTTAAATGTAAGACTTCCATGTTCCCATTATCTTGTTACAGTGACCTTACACAACAAAAGCATGAGAAGTCTGAGCTAGGGTACCTTGCATCCTACAGCACACTGTTGCTTTACACCTGAACTGCATTTTTAAGTGTACATTTGAACACCTTTAGATGTTACTTAGGAATACTTTAAAATGCGTAGTTTCATGGCTATTGTATTTTTCTATTATCCCACCTGAGAGATTATCAGTGCAAATGATACTACAAATTTCTAAGAATATATTCTTGTGCGCTTGGAACTTAAGCATATGAAAATAATCAGGCATGTAATTTAAGATGAGGATAAATTGGGAACAATCAACTTCAAGTACAAGAATACTGAGAGGTAAAAGGCATACACTAATGATTTTTTCCAAAGGTTTCAGTTTACACCCACAAATTTGACATCAAATATTCAATTTTTTCATAACACAGATCAACAGCCTTAAGAACTGCCCTCAAAACCATTTTCTTCATTTCTTGAACACAATTGCCTACAGCTTTGGAAAAATCTAATATATCTCTCTCTCTCTCAAAAATCCAATGCATTCTGTATAATAGTGCCCCATAAAAAGGGGTCATAATAGCTCAACAATTTGTTGCCAGATCAAGGTAACACTCTGTAAAAACCTGATTCTGCACAAGAAATACACAGTATTTGAGAAAATACTCAAAAGAAATACTACTGAGATTTGTGCATTAACATAGAAGATGTTAAATAGCTTTTCAGCACTAAAAGTAGCCTTTAGAAACAGTAACAGAAGTGGAATCTTAACAGTTCCTCCCTACTTCTCACTGTACCTTCACAGCATCACTCTTTTCACAAACTGTATGGTATTGTAAGTATTTTCCCAGGTTGATACTCACAACATATAACTGCCGCCATATTATAGACCATTCCCGCAGCGTAGTGGTAACCTCCTGAATCAAGGGGAGCTCATTGGGTATAACTGTTTCATGTTGTCTTAAGAGGAAGAGAAAAAGAGTTTGAATTAAGCAGTAGTTTTGGGTAGGATGGCAGAATCATTTCTAAGAAGGAACTGGTCATTTCCGAAACCAATTCGGTAACGACAGGATTGGCAATAACATCACGTTCTGCAAATTTATAAGTTAGCAAAGAACGTACTGTCACGTACAGAAGCAGCAGCATACACAAGCACATCCTGCGACATACAGGGTACTTCGGTGGGCTGAGACTATGCTACTGAAGTCACACTTTTTTTTTTTCCCTTCTCCTTATTTCTATCCTCACAAGATCACAATATCAATACATACCTCACCATACCATTTATTATTCAGATACTAAATTTAGAAGAAGCAACCAAGATGAAAGCCAGATATGCACAACCTACAACGCCACGATACTACGGCGTAATTGTTTTGCAAAATACTGGTCTTGCAAAGAAAAATTAAGCATGCAAGTCATGACCATTAAGTTTCTGTATGACTTGTTTTAAAATTATGTGCCATGAAAGTAAGGAACAACAGCCAGATCTTTGAATATTTCACACGTAAGGTACTTAAAGGCAGTTTTGTAATCAGCAAGAAAGATGTCATTATGCAGCAATCTCATGTTTAGTAGTTTTATCATTTACATATTTAACAGTGTATAAAAATAAATCGGGCACAAAGGAATAAAATATTTTAATCCTGTTTCACTCCATTTCATACCTGGCTAATTATTATTAATGTCGCTTCACTTTTTTTTTCTGGGATTTGGTTGGGTTTTTTTCCTGGTTTTTAACTAAACTTTTGCATCAATGTTAGGAACTTCTAATGCATGTCTTCTAATTGCATGTCCAGCAATGCTGATTTGATATATAAAGATCTGACCTTTAACAGCTATTAAATAACAAAAACCAGCCCAAACTATTTAGCATCACACACATCAGGCAAGGGAGCAGGAGAATCACAAACTGAACAATTCGACAGAGCTTCTCGGTAAGGCAGAAAACGATGCCTGGATAATGGCTTACAGCGAGGAGTCCAGTCAACAAGATTTACTGAAGAGGGAATTAAGAAATCACTTAAATTTCATCTGCATAAAAGAAAGGTATCTCATATCAAAGGCCTCTTTTAATATACCAGGCAGAAGCCATAAGACTTAAGGGCTGGAAGATAAAAGAAGTTGGGAAAACTGAAATTAGAACTAAAGCAGGCAGCAGGGAGTGGAGGAAGTTAATCTAGGTAATTATTCGTCGGGAGAGTAATAAAAGTTATAAAGAAAAACGGTAAATTATTAATTCTTCTGAAACATTTACATTAATACAGAGAAGGTTATGCTTTAGCTCAGCTATATGACAATGCAGATACGGACAGTACTAGCCAGAAGCGCTGCTGGTGACGGCGCCTTCGAACTTGAGGTTGAGCTACTAATTTAAAATATTTTAAAAAAGAAACACACACATCTTCGTCATCAGCTCCTTAACAAACTGGAAACAAGTGTAGGTTATCTGATAATACACCAAAACTATATCGATACAAGTAAGAAAATGGATTTTTATTACTTTCAAATCAAACTTACCCTTTGCCTTCAACTATTGCTTCCTTAAGATGTATATAGGAGGCAGGAAATATGCCCTTTGAGAGGGAGGGAGAGGAAAAAATAGTTTTAAATAACCAGTTGCACGTAACATATTGTATCTATTACCTAAATTATGCCAAGACACATTGCTGGGTCTGCAGAGCTATTCACATCCTCTTAAGCATCAGAGTAGTTGTTTCATGGTGTTTTGGGGTTTTTTTTTTAATGTACGTTTAAATTTTGTATTGCATATCCTTTCAAGAAGGTGTTATTGTAACCTTAGCAAACACAGACTCGTTTTTTTATGCCTATCTTCACAATATTGAAGAAAATAGCAGAGACACCCTGCTATAAGTGGCCCTGCAAAGGGTGTTTCCTCCCCCAGTTCAAGGTACAGTTTGCCACGATTCTCCAGGTCCCTGGGTGATTATATACAGATGCAAGTTAAGATTTCCTTCTGAAAGCATGAAAGACAGATGACTTTACTTAGACCTACTCCAAAATAACATTTTGCCCATGATCGAGGTCCACTGCTTGTTCTTCCTCACGTCTAACCAAGCTTTCTTACCCTGCTATAAGATGCTGCTTCTGTTCCCAGAGTGTTTTCTCCAGTGTGTCCAGGCTTCCCGTTAAAATAAACGCTGCCTGAGAACGGGGAGCAGACCGGGCTGCCTTGCTGTAAACCAAACGGGCACGTGCATGCACAGAACGCACACATCCTGCAATGCAGCTGATAATAACATAGTGTCTTCTACCACCAACCTATGGTCAGTGCTATAAACCAAAACCCTCTTCAAAAGGCTGTACTGCAAAAGGCCAGGACTGCTTTTCTGACAAGATGATCTAAATTAATCTCCAGAATCCAGAAATACAATAATAGTTTCAAAATAGTGTAAGCTCATATTAAAAAGTAATTCGAGTCAAGCTGAGAAACTAAGTTCCTCCACCTCACCCTCTGAGGCTGTAGTTCAGTTTTTTTAACATTTGGGAATGCAAAAAGAGGAATTCTTAGAAAGCTACAGAAACTTGGGGCAGGGGGGCGGGTGTCTTTTACTCCCAGTTTTAAAAAAAAAAAAATAAAAAACCTCTACATTTAGCAGCAGTCAGACAAATGAAGCAACACACGGAATTAATTTAAGCCAAGAAGAATGCGTAATTGCTTCTTAGGCTGTATGAGGCATGTTCATGAAATATGGTTCATAAGAAATTTAGTGTATTTCCAAAAAAAGAAAATATCAAAATAGACCAGAAAAACCATAGAACAGGCCTAGTTAGGAAATGGGTGGGACGAACCACACAGCTCAGCTCTGTACTTTTAGATACGCAGACACAACTCAAAATGCACCTCTGTAGGCAAACATTACATTTGAAGTGTTTTACTTTAAGTGAAAAAAAGAAGCAAAACCAGAAGTCATTTAATTCTGGTTAATTACTACTATAAAGTAAAATGCTAAAAAAATAAAAACCCAATGTTATAAGCTGTATTTGTGCCGTTTCCTTTCTTTTCATTTCAGAAAGGCTGCTATAAACAGCAGCCCTTTATGCACGCTGAAAGCCTAACAACTAGGCAAAATTACACTGCAGAAGATTACTCCCCCTCTCGCAGACAACGACAGAAAATCACAATGTAGATCTCTGTATCACTTTCCAAAATGCAATTGAGTTTTACAAGTAAGACGTTACTTAACGGGCAGTGAAGCAAAGTGTCAGCCTCTAAACAGATCAACTAGAACATAAAGTTCTGAACTTTTTACTGAGGCAAAAGCTCTGGTACACCACTTACTGCAGAAAACAAGCTGATGCACATCAATCCATCTATAGTGACTGTACATACAGGCACCCTTAAACTGCAAAAATTAAATTGCAACTCAGCTTTTAGGCCTTGTTAAAACAAGTTTCAGTTAATTTGAAAAATTGACATTTACTACAGGTTGAGACTGTGCACCAGCGGTTATTAGAGAGCAGCGGACACATGGTGAATTGCTCCCACGCAGTAACGTAATACGTGCCCGAGATCACCGCTGTAACAACGCACCCAACGCCGTAATACATCTCTATCCGAGAGAAAAATGAGCACTCCGCTCCGCCAACACTTACCTTCTTGGATTTTTTTCGTAGTGTATAACCTCTGTACCAACCTAGGAGGGGAAAAAGGGAAAAAGCATTGAAAAGTTCATTCATGTCACCCAGCAGCTGCGCCTTCGCAGTTCAACAGCACCTGAATGTGGTTTCTGATCACGCTTCACCCCTGCCAACATGCACACGTACACCCCACCTGAATTTAAATTCCCTATAGGATTAATACCCTGGCTAAAACGAGCCTTCTTGGAAGCTATTAAAAAAAAAAAAAAAAATCAGAGTGGTGATGATCAAACCGATGGAGAAGACTACATGGCAGAGATGGCATTTTACATGATGCATTTAATTGTCATTCATTTCAATTAGCAATTTACCAACACGAACAAAACCAGCTTAAGAGCATTAACTTCACAAAGATTTTTGAGTAGTTTGATTTTAAAACCTAGTTAAGTTCCGCAAATGCAACTGTCCAAACGTAGATCAGACGGTTTGTCAGCTCAGCGGAAAAGAGGAATGCTTTGGCATTTACGAGTCACACATCAAAATATAAAAGCGAGGAGCCCCACAGCCGCAATTCGGCACGAGGCAGCAAACACCCGCCCCGCAGCAGCCCCGAGCCGCACGGTTATGCAGCCTGTGCCATCCCCCGGGCGCTGGCCGTGCCTGGAAAACCGGGAGGTAATGCCTCACGTACCGTGCTCCCAGTTCACGACACATCTACAAGCAATCGCCATCACAGCTTTTAGCGTTCCTCCCGCCGCTCCACGTCAGCGCGACTGGATAGCCAAAGCAAAACCAAAACCCTACAAGCTACAGTCGTTTCGGCTCATGGAAGACAGCGTGCCAGAGAAAGCAGATCAGATCGTCTGTGAACGCTGCCGCCGGTTCAGTGCTGGATTGTTTGGACTCTTGCACCGGGGCTATTTTGTATTTCAGTCTGTCTGTGCCATGGCTCACTCGCTCCTTCCTGCTCAGCACCCCAGGGAACCCCCCCGGTGAGCAGAGCTGCCGTCCGCAGCTTTTGGAAGAGGAAATCTGGGTGCAATGCCACCCCCTCTAGCCCTGCAAACAGGGGTTTGCACAGCAAAGCATCCCTCTGCCGAGATCCACACGGGTGAGGATGGGGGGAATCACACAGCAGACATGCAAAAGAACCTATGTCCCACTCCTGACAACAGCTAGGGCAGGAAGAAGGTTCAAGGCAGACAACACATGCTGGTAAATTAGTTATCTACACCCTGCGACTAGAAATACAAATTAAAGCCTCAAACGCACAGGATTTTTCAGTCTGCTCCCAGTAGCAAAGGGTAAAACGATTCATCATCTTCGCACTGCATCAGAAGCCTATCCTCCGTGATCACCTGGGGACAGTTAGGGAGATCTTCTTTAATCTGGAGCCTACAACCATCACGGTTCATTCCCCTACAGAGGCTGCAATGACCTCACATCTCGCACTTCCACCGCTTTCAGCAAGTATCAGCAAAAACTGTCGCTGAAACGGCCATGCAGAGTTTCTGCCTCAGGTGCAAAGAGGGCAAAGCATTTCCGCTTGCACTTACTCCACTAGCTGAAATCTGTGCACAGATTTCGATCCTATTAAAGAACAAATTCCCTCAGTTTTATATGAATAAACCAACATTTTGAAGTTCTGGAGTCTAAACCAATAAGCACCATAACTCTGATCAAATGCACTGTACAAACTAAAGAACGTACAATCGTATTATCTCTGCCACCTCGCTTCTCCCATCCCATCTTCTGTGCTGTCCGACCCAGGACATCACACTGCACCGGCACATTAAAAAGCCACGTAGCAAAGAAAGCTCCTCACCGCTGAACCTCTGCTTTCTGAAGCTTTGCAGCAAGCAGTAAGAACTACAAGAGATTGCAGATAAGACAGCAGCCGAAATCTGCCTTGGAGAACTGGTTACACTCCCGCTTGTTGCAGAGGTCCCAACGCAACCTGGCGAGTCCAACCATGCTCTTCACTGGCAGCCACCACCTGAATGTTCTTCTTGCTGGATACCAAGCCTATGCAGTGGGGAGCACAATTCTCAAAGAGAGCTAAACTCTGATTCAACCGGAGGCACCGAGTCTCGCCATGAGCACGCACGTTAAGGGCGATGTAATTTCAGTACATGAAGTTGTCTCTAAAACATAGTCTCGTACCCAAAACACGAAGACTGTTCAGTTTCTTAGTTCTCCACCTGTAAGATGAGGGTAGTTCTTCTCCACATGCAGACACTACAAAAGCGACCAAGTCTCTCACAAACATGAATTAAAGTAATTAAGAACACAAAATTGTGATTTTTCTTCAACACATAATAATTAAGGTTTAGCTGTCAGACACTGGACAAGGGAAAAACAAGTATGGCACAGCCGCTGCTTTAGGTGAGTGAGATCTAGTCCTCCACGCTAAAAAAAAGGAAGGGCTAGAAAGCTGTGCAAGCGCGTGTGCTTGTTAGCGACGTTAAGAAGGTATTCTAACGCACCTACCAACCTGCGCTGCAGCCCTGCCTAACTTGAGCTCTTGGTTTTGTAGATCGTGAAAAAAATGAATGAAAAACCCCAAAGCCTGAGAGCAGAGAGGGCAAATATCTGATGTCAAGCGTGTCCCTGGAGCACACAGCACAGAGCTCCACATCCTTCTCACTCTATTCATGGCCAATTTGGTTTCAGACAAAATGCCAGCGAGAGGAAAACAGGCTGATGCCATAAATATTTTTCTGAAGTGACCTGGGCTTTTAAGTGGCTTACTGATGTGTTACAGGGTTTCTGGCCTCTCCCGTAACAAGGATTACGGGATATAATGGCTGGAAATACGCATCCACGTAAATGCCCAACTAAGAAAAGGAACCAGTGAAATATTTGTGTGTCTGTTAAAGCTGAAAAAGACATTCAAAGGGAAAAATCTGCTGATGTTTCTCTTGAATGATGCACCAATTTACTACACAGGTACCCAGAGAAGTATTTGCTGATTTAAAAAAATAAAAGAAAGCTGCAACCAACAACTAAACATCCCCACAGTATGAGGAACAACTTACTTGAAAATACTTATTTGGGAACCCAAACTCCCTTCCCATACCAGCACTAGAAATGAGCTACCGTTCAAACATGCAAGCTTGGTTTTGAGGCTTATTTACTGTTATGTTTAACAGTTATTCACCTTAATAAGCCACGTTCATTGATCATATGTTCTGTTTGCCCATTCCACCAAATAATGTAAAGAAACAGAATTAAAAAAATAAAGATCAGGCAGGTACTAATTCAGAATGTGGCAAATATTTGTTTTGGGATATCTGCTATGACATACAATCCTTGCAAGATGAAGGATATTTATGAAGTCCAGTGGCTTTGCTGTTTGGCTTTTTCTGTAAGGCTCACATTAGGAGGAGTGAGAGGAACTTTTCTAACTGAAAAATAACAATCTGCAATTCTGAAAGAAAAAAAAAAAATTAATTTGACTTTCAAGAATAATTATTCTAGAAAGCAGCTTTTAAACATTGAGACTTAACAGTGAAATATGCACGTACATTTCCAATCTCGCAAACCCTATAAAAATATAGGCTGTTTGCAACAAGTCTCCAACTTCACAGGATCTGCACACTGAACTATTTGTACAAACTTTTTCCTGTGTTTCAGAGAGGGGAAAAAAGTTTTCTTTGATTAAAATTTAAAAGATTAAAATGTTTTAGTAATAAAATCTAATTCCAAAATAAATTCTATATATAGGTAAAAAAATAAAAAAATATTTTAAACACATAAGCAAAGTCCATCTCAGCAATCCATTCCAGTACATGGTAGCAACATGATATCCTATAGAAACCTGGCTGTCCTTCAAACAGGTCTTCCAGACTATGCATACGACACCCAGCCCTCCCAACTTCTCAGCCTCTTTCGTCTGCAGAGAGAAGACCAAATGAGCAAAGACTTACCAGAAGCAGATTCAGAGGGGGGAAAAAAAAAAACCCAACCCACACAACTACAATCTACCACTTCAAAGCCCATGGACACATGTAAGTCTTCAAAACTACTCCTAACTTAAGAATTATTGCAGAAAACTATTTGAAAATAGTAACAATTGTACAGCAGGATGCCAAGAGCAGAATGCGTAATACAGCAGATATCAATGAAAGAAGCCATTCTTCTTCCCACAATCCTAAATACAGGGAAAAGGGGTAGACCTTTGAGAAGCAGAATCACAGATCCTCAGCAAAAAGGCATTACTGACTCTTCAAAGGACTTTTCTGTCCCATGTTCGCATTATTAAGGGCTTTTCTTCAGATTGGCCCACCCCGCCGCAGCCCACCAGCACCCTGACGCAGACAGGGCCGACGGCAGGGAAGTTCCCAGGCGCACACCTGGACGTTAGCGCAGATGGTACGAAACCTCCTGGGGCACAATCTACACAAATTTAGTACAGAGGAACTTGGAGATCAAAAAGCTCAAATAATTACCCAATAATGGCAGCTCTGTGAACAAGAGAGATAAGAATTATGGCATCTAATTTCCCATCACAGCAGGTGCATAATGAATAATCACTGTCTAACATGTTTGGAAGAACATTAACTTATTTGCATTTCTTTTAACATGAACCCATCCCATGTGCTTGAAGCCTAACAACCGAGAGCATGAAGGCCTTTCTATTATTCAAGTCTAGGGGAAAAGCGAGTCGTCTCCACTGTCCCCCATGGTTGGCAGCAGTCATCATTTGGTATGGTTTCACATACCCTACTCAGGATTCAGTTTCTCGCACATTCATTAAATGAATCTATTTATATATAAAAGCACAAAGGTGCACAATATTTAAATCATTCCATTTGCATTTAAAATTTTTGCATTATTAGATTTTTATTAAAGCATATAATGCCAGATAACGGAAAGATCACTTTGCTTAGAGTCCAACTCAGCATTGCAGCAGCAAGATGAACTCTGTAAGAAAATGCCAGCCTAGGAACAATGAGAAAATTCGTTTGCACAGTGATGAGTAGAGCTTGTTACTTTTGTTGAAATAGCATTGCTTGTTTTAGTAAATGTAACAATAAAAAAAATCCTGTTAAGCCAATATCTGAAACAAATTTATCACACGGATGTACCGAAAGATCTATGTCTAGAGAAACAAACAAATTAAACCAATATATTAAATTAAATCACATTTCCACAAGACAAAGTGTTACAATATTTTAAATGAACACAGTTTAGTTATATGTTACTTATACCTTTCCAAACTGCAGCATGCCATAAAATTTCAAGTCAAGGATATAATGAAAGAGCTGTTGTATTTTGTTTGGCTCAGTACTGGATCAAGCAAGAGCTGAAAAGTGTTAAGACAATTTTCATATTCTGTTGATTATCAAACTCAGCACTCGAATTCCCCTTTACATGGATCAAGGAGGAAAGATTGTGGTACATGTAATGTTCCTGCAGCTTCATATCAAAACAAGCAAAGCATCTGAAAAGCCTGAAATCAATCGCACTGTAACACATGTACCCATCTTATGAGAGAGACATAAATAATTGAGGACCCAGGTGACTTTCAAATTCAGATTAAACTTCTTTTAGCAGCAGGCTCTTTTGCATTACCCAAGGGTATCCAAAAAGCATCTATCATTTCTCTAACGTAGCGTAGATGCTACAATTGATTCATACAAATAAAGCAGTGTGAACATCCATCTTCCATAAAAAAGGAAATGGGTTATTCACCGGGTATTGACCACATGCATCTTCATTCACATCT